TCATAAACTCTAGCAGACAGCAGACAGCAGACTAGGACTTGCAAGCCACTACCAATAAAAGGAAGGGAGCATCTTACCCCCACTCTTCTTAGCCTTACGTTTGGTAAGGTCGTGTACTATTTAGGCACAAGAGACCTTGGACGACTACGGCGTACATATAAAACCAATGGTGATAAGAACTGCTACTTTTGAGCCACCACCTACACCCTGACAGGATCACAGTACCACTGCCACCTACACCCTGACAGGATCACAGTACCACTACCACCTCCTCAGAGATAAAGTCATTCACCGCATTAAACACTGACTTGACAGTAAAACAACTACAGAACAAAATATGTTAGAATATATGAATAGCTCTGGAATTTCCAGTGGTTAAGTCTGGACAACTGACGCAGAGATCATGACGACAGCCAATCTGTTGGGTTGCGATATAGCCATCCAAACAAAAAGCCGCTGACTCGGTGGATTGGTTGACCTATGCCGCAAGCTTCAACCTGCAGTCAACAACAGGACATGCACTTTATCTTCATGAAGAACACGATCATTTCGATGTTGTTATCGTTGTTCAACTTGCTACATTGTAGCGAGGACTTGCCGAGGACTTGCTTGTTTTAGATGTTGTAGCCTCATGATTCTATTTTTTATAATATTATTTTTAAAGCACTGAAATTAATTAATTAGTATGTTTCATATCATTATAATGTCTGGGTTTATTTTAATGTGTCGACACTTTGATTTTTTATGAGTGAGTCTTTTTAGGTTAAGATATAAAAATCGTTGTGTTTTAAGATTTAAGTCAGTTAAATTTTTCACGTAAATTACCTGACATATTACCTGACATATTACCTGACATAATATTACCTGACATATTACCTGGCATATTACCTGACATAATATTACCTGACATATTACCTGGCATATTACCTGACATACTATTACCTGACATATTACCTGGCATATTACCTGGCATATTACCTGACATAATATTACCTGACATATTACCTGGCATATTACCTGACATAATATTACCTGACATATTACCTGACAAAACGAAGCCACCAACAAAATGTTGAACACTATTAAGTAATTCACCATACACTACTGGCAGGGTGGGGGGGGGGTATAGTCTGGCCTGGAGGTATAGTCTGGCCAAAGCTATTTTAACCCCCTGTTATAGTTTGGCCTAAGGAGGTGTAACCCCGGGATCAACCCCTAGGCCAGACTAACCCCCCCCCCCACACACCCCGGGCAGGGGCTAATCTGGACAGAAGTCTATTCTGGCCCGCTACACCGGAAAAAAACTCGACTATAATTTTCTTCATGCCGGGATAACGAGATTTTCGGGAAATCCTGGAATTAAAATGAATTCCATTAAATGATAAAATCAACTTGATTCAAAGAGTTTATGTTTTATGTTTGTTGATTTTTTATTTTATATTAATAAATTAAAAAGAATATTAAGGTTAGTTGGGAGTTTGGTCACTTGCTACTAATTGGTCACTTGTTGCTAGTTGGTCACTTGCAGCTAGTTGGTCACTTGCTGCTAGTTGGTCATTTGCTGCTAGTTGGTCACTTGCTACTAGTTGGTCACTTGCTGCTAGTTGGTCACTTGCTACTAGTTGGTGACTTGCTGCTAGTTGGTCAATTGCTACTAGTTGGTGACTTGCTGCTAGTTGGTCACTTGCTACTAGTTGGTCACTTGCTACTAGTTGGTCACTTGCTACTAGTTGGTCACTTGCTACTAGTTGGTGACTTGCTGCTAGTTGGTCACTTGCTACTAGTTGGTCATTTGCTACTACTTGTTCACTTGCTGCTGGTTGGCCACTTGCTGCTAGTTGGTAACCTGCTGCTAGTTGGTCACCTGCTACTAGTTGGTCACATGCTGCTAGTTGGCCACTTGCTGCTAGTTGGTCCCTTGCTACTAGTTGGTAACCTGCTGCTAGTTGGTCACCTGCTACTAGTTGGCCACCTGCTGCTAGTTGGTCCCTTGCTACTAGTTGGTCACTTGCTGCTACTTGGTCACTTGCTACTAGTACCAGTGAACGACGATGTTGGTCACCTGCTACTAGTTGGTCACATGCTGCTAGTTGGCCACTTGCTGCTAGTTGGTCCCTTGCTACTAGTTGGTAACCTGCTGCTAGTTGGTCACCTGCTACTAGTTGGTCACCTGCTGCTAGTTGGTCCCTTGCTACTAGTTGGTCACTTGCTGCTACTTGGTAACTTGCTACTAGTTGGTCACTTGCTGCTACTTGGTAACCTGCTACTAGTTGGCCACTTGTTGGTAGTTGGTTACTTGCTGCTAGTTGGTCACTTGCTGCTATTTGGTCACTTGCTTCTTGTTGACCACTTGCAGCTAGTTGGCCACTTGCTGCTAGTTGGTCACTTGCTACTAGTTGGTAACTTGCTGCTTGTTGATCCCTTGCTGCAAGATGGTCAGTTGCTGCTAGTTGGTCACCTGCTGCTAGTTGGTCACTTGCTGCTAGTTGGTCACTTGCTGCTAGTTGGTCAGTTGCTGCTAGTTGGTCCCTTGCTGCTAGTTGGTCCCTTGCTGCTAGTTGGTCCCTTGCTGCTAGTTGGTCACTTGCTGCTAGTTAGTCACTTGCTGCTAGTTGGTCACTTGCTGCTGGTTGGTCAGTTGCTGCTATTTAGTCAGTTGCTGCTAGTTGGTCAGTTGCTGCTAATTGCTCAGTTGCTGCTGGTTGGTCAGTTGCTGCTAGTTGGTCAGTTGCTGCTAGTTGGTCACTTGCTACGTGTTGTTTTATTTCTCACTGCTTATCAATTGTAATGGATAAGCAATGTAACTATCTGTTACTTTTGATTTCACGCCAGATTCATCCAAGATTGAGCAAACTACACTTCTTTTGCGTCATATCATATGTAATACCATATGAGAACCATATGAAGAATTTGTACAGTTTTTCGACACAAGCCATGCCACAGGAAACGACCAAGAAGTGGTGTAGTTGGGGTTAGTGGCACCCGGGGTGGGTCAACAATTTTGCCATCCTCATAGACGAAAAAAGCTATGCAGTTGGCCGAAAATGCAACACCTCCAAATAAAGATAAAAAATGCCACCCTGGGCGGACCGATCCCCTTCCACCCCCTCTTTCTTCGCCACTGTGATGTATCACGTGTTATAGAGACATTAAAAGAACCAGACATTTCACTGTGAGATTGTCGAGGACAGTGATATGACAATGCAGTCAACATGGCAGGAATCTACTTGAGCAGTGTGAAACAGCTTTATGTTCACCATGTTGATGCCAACTAATTTGTGTGGAACTGACGCCTCAGAATGCATTCTCGAAGCCATAACATACTTTGAAACTGTGCAAACAATTTACAACTTGTTTAGTGCTAGTCCGCAGCAATGGAAAACTTGCAGACATGTATTGGCTAATATTTTCCCGACATGTCTAACACACGATGGTGAGACCGTGTTGACACTATAAATCCCTTTGTACCTGCCAGGCATCAGATTATCATTAGAAAACCTCTCGGAGTTGAACCTAGCTACCAAAACAGGAACGGCGATTGATGGAGATTTGTCTTATGTCACATCCTTCATTCGTGTGATAATGTCTTTTGTATGGTTCAGATTAGTAGTTCCATTTGATTTCGGCAATAAGGTTATTCAGTTCAGGAATGCAAAGCTGGACTTCGAAGTGTCCAATTTAAAAAGCTTGATTTCAGAACTGATAAATCTTTTGAACAGCCGGAAAGAATGTGGAGTGAAGATAAGCGTATTTCCTCAAATTTGTGCATAGAATTAAAACTCACTGGCACGCGGGGTCAAGCAAAACACAAAATAAAGTGGTTCCATGATGAGGCTGCTAAAGAAGAAACAGGTGAATCCCCCGATGAAGCCTATGTTAGAAAGTCTTTCATGTAATATTGGATACTGTTATGGGCGGACTCACTGTTCTTTTCAATGCTGCAGTGAACATTTCTGACAAGTTCAGGTTCCTCTGGAAGTTCCTATCGACTCCTCAGGATGAACTGAAAGAAAATCAAACTCATACTTGCGGATCAGTATCCCGCGTGAATCTATCAGAGACAAATTTGGGCATAATGATGACCAGGGCCAGTTTTAACTCCCCCCCCCCATACCCCGCTTAATCCTAAAGAAATTAATTCAATTTGTGGCACACTTTGGGGCAGCGGCTCCCAACCATGTTTCCATTTCTCCATGATTAGACTTATATTGAAATATAGCTTTTTTTAAAGGAAGGGGTGTAAAAAAACAACAACTTATGCCCTTTTCTGAAATAATCAATATAATTTGCATATTCCAAGCGGTCCAGGCAGGAGATAATTCAGGGTTGGGGGTGGGGGGGGCAGGTCATCTATCAGGACGGAAATAAGGCATTACGGCTCCCAGTGCTATATATAACCTGAATTCATTCCAGATGTGGCACGCCCCAGGGTATTGTTTTGTTCCCATATTAGTTTCCCCTCGTAGTGTCACATAGTATATATACAGACATGTATATTTTAATATACATATAAAATCGAATAAACAATTGTATTTTTTAGATTAATATAATCATCGCGCCTACAAATGCTCAAAAGCTAACCATGAGCTACTTACCAACCACTGCACACACGTACAGACCAACCAAAAGAGTCCAAAAGCTTAGGAACTGAAAAAGTAGTGCCCATGTCTGCAATGGCGTGGCTAGGGTTAATGCTGCTCCTGCCGGTAAAGCTTTTTTCCACCTCTCGCGTTTCCACGAACCCCCCCCCCCCCTAAAAAATGCGCACATTCCATAAAATGGAGAAACTAGACCAATAGTTCATATAACCAAGTGCTCCGGATTATGAGAAGGCGAAATAAAGACATTCAGAATGAACGGGGTTTTTGGCACTCACTTGTCATTTAGTGAGACAGTAGGCATTAAAATATCTTCGAGGTGATCTGCACTTTAAGTGAAAGAGAAAAAACTCTGCCATTTTCAAAGACGTGTCCTGTGTTGCCGTACATAATTGTACCTTATACATGCACGCGATGTTTACCCTGCGTACAAGAAACGGCTTATCTTTACGTTACCTGTTACAACTTGCGACCCCGCTGTTACCTATAAAACGATCACGTCAGACAATCGTCTGGAGATAGAAACGTTGTCAAGATGATTGCAGGAATACTCGCCGTTTTCGTCTGCCTCCAGATCAGTCTGGTCTTTGGTGAGTTCAGAATGACAGACTTGACATCTTGATTTTAGTCATCGGCATTTTAAAAAAAAATTAGTAATTTGATGGAAATCTAGAAATTGAAAGGTTCATAACTACAGATGACTTTGGTGTGTAAATAGCATGAGAAACCATTGGAAGAGTTATGACGGCTCATAACTACAGATGACTTTGGTGTGTAAATAGCATGAGAAAACAATGGATGAGTTATGACGGCTCATAACTACAGATGACTTTGGTGTGTAAATAGCACGAGAAACCATTGGATGAGTTATGACGGCTCATAACTACAGATGACTTTGGTGTGTAAATAGCACGAGAAACCAATGGATGAGTTATGACGCGTTACATGTTCAATGAGAAATCACTTCCTGGCTGCCTCCGAGTGGTATGGAGCCAACTCTTCTCATCTTTAGACATTGAACTTGGTTATATCTTTGTGTGTTTGTCACGCCAGTCATGGTGTTGCCCATCAGTGTTGAATTCGGGAGTTCACTACAAATGTAAATAAATAAAAGTTTACCTTTAAAAAAATTGTTAGAACATCATTGACTATTCAATAAAGAGAGTGAGAGCTAACGATTATAATGCCACTAATAACTCCACAATAATTTATATTTTTCAGCAAATGAAATGATTCAACCGGTGATTATTCTAAAAATGAATTTTTTATAGGCCTATCATTTTTAAATTTTGGTTTTAATTCTTGAAATTCCCGGTTGAATCATGCGGTGGAGTGGCTTTGCGATCAGAAAACGTCTCGTACCATCCCCAGAGTGTTGGAGTTCTAGTTATATTTTAAGCTTGGCAATTATTAAAAAGACTTTTGTTTTATCGTCGCCCCCCCCCCCAACAAACCAAATAAATAAAATAAAAAGTATTTAGCATTAGCTTTCTTTTCTTTCCCATAGTAATTTTGTTACTTGGAGAATTCAAAACGCAGGCGAGATTTAAGGGTGGGGGGGGGGGATAGATCAGATCGGAAGCAACTGCTCCCCCCCACCCCCATGTCACCCTGTGAAGTTACCCCTAAGCTGCTCCCTGGTCATCTCAAAGCCAAAGCAGCTGTTCCCAAAAATTCAATTCATAAACTATTGACTTCCTTGTCAAATACTCAAATGTAAATCAATAATTCATCAATTATACAAAACATTTCTATGCTGACATTTATTGTGCTGCAATTAAATCTCATGATATACATCATTAGCATGGACCGTTTTCTCATATGTACAAAACTATGAAATGTGATCTCCTCGGATAACAGGTTTGGTCCGACATCAAAATTCAGTAGCTTCATCTATTTGTTACTTTTTACTTAGAGATTATCTCATGCTGTCTTTTCCATTTATGAAGAACTCAATAATCATATTTCAACTCTTAAGGATTAGATGTTTCAACCATATTGTCATTCTATGAAACTAAATGATAAATGGAATGAATAAGTTGTTACACTACATCAATAACTAAACACATAACTAAGCACATAACCTACAATACATCAATAACTAAGCACATAACCTACAATACACCAATAAATAAACACATAACCTACACTACATCAATAACTTAGCACATAACTAAGCACATAACTTAGCAGATAACTAAGCACATAATTAAGCACATAACTAAGCACATAACTAAGCACATAACTTAGCACATAACTTAGCACATAACTTACACTGAAATATTCATGAATCTAATGAGTGTCGATTTATTTGTTCACGCTCTAGGAGCCTGCCCCCACATCATCACCAGGGCCCAATGGGGGGCCCGCGCCCCGAAGAGTGTAACCCACCTGGCTGGACCAGTCCATTATTCCTTCATCCATCATTCAGCTGGAGCAGAGTGTCACGATAGGGCCTCATGCCAGGCTCAGGTCAAGAGCTTCCAGAACTACCACATGGACACACATGGTTAGTCCTTCACTGGATAGTTGATAGTTGACATACATAACTTTGACATCGACCGTCACAGACACACACACAGTTAGTCATAGATTCGACAAAGGACACGCAGATGCACCACATTGACACGTATAGTCATAGAATGGAAAGATGACACACTCAACCACCACATGGGCACACATAGTTAGTCATAGACTGTACAGCTGACATACAGATGCACCACATTGACACGTATAGTCATAGAATGGAAAGATGACACACTAAACCACCACATGGGCACGCATAGTTAGTCATAGACTGTACAGCTGACATTCAGATGCACCACATTGACACGTATAGTCATAGAATGGAAAGATGACACACTCAACCACCACATGGGCACGCATAATTAGTTATAGACTGTACAGCTGGCATACAGATGCACCACATTGACACGTATAGTCATAGAATGGAAAGATGACACACTCAACCATCACATGGGCACGCATAGTTAGTCATAGGCTGTACAGCTAACATACAGATGCACCACATTGACACGTATAGTCATATAATGGAAAGATGACACACTCAACCACCATATGGGCACGCATAGTTAGTCATAGACTGTACAGCTGACATACATATGCACCATATTGACACGTATAGTCATAGAATGGAAAGATGACACACTCAACCACCACATGGGCACGCATAGTTAGTCATAGACTGTACAGCTGACATACAGATGCACCACATTGACACGTACAGTCATAGAATGGAAAGATGACACACTCAACCACCACATGGGCACGCATAGTTAGTCATAGACTGTACAGCTGACATACAGATGCACCACATTGACACGTACAGTCATAGAATGGAAAGATGACACACTCAACCATCACATGGGCACGCATAGTTAGTCATAGACTGTACAGCTGACATACATATGCACCACATTGACACGTACAGTCATAGAATGGAAAGATGACACACTCAACCACCACATGGGCACGCATAGTTAGTCATAGACTGTACAGCTGACATACAGATGCACCACATTGACACGTACAGTCATAGAATGGAAGGATGACACACTCAACCACCACATGGGCACGCATAGTTAGTCATAGACTGTACAGCTGACATACAGATGCACCACATTGACACGTATAGTCATAGAATGGAAAGATGACACACTCAACCACCACATGGGCACGCATAGTTAGTCATAGACTGTACGGTTGACATACAGAGGCACCACAATGACTAGTCACACACTGGACAGATGTCATACAGTAACACCATTTGTACACGGATGGTTAGTCATAGAATGGACCGGTGGCGCATGACGTCACTCCAAAAAAATTGAAATGACCATGTACAAGAAGGAGGAACATGTACTTAGATAAACGTATTTTGTTTCCCTTCCAGGTTGGTCTGACATCGGCTACACCTTCATCATCGGTGGGGACGGCTCTGTGTTTGAGGGGCGTGGCTGGAACGTTGTTGGTGCTCACACTTTGAACTACAACAGTGTTGGATATGGTAGGTGGTCATCTGATTAATGGGTGGGGTACAGTGACCGTGGGGGACAGGCTTCTTGTTACTTTCACACGGTAGCTGTATAAAACCTGAGTCTTGTGCCATAAAGGTTTGTTAAGTTAAATATAGTGTACAAATATAATATAATAGGAAAAATTAGGGAGAAATACAGGGGTACATTATAAGATAATGAATTATAGCTGTCCTTATATTAGGGTACATTATAAGATGATGAATTATAGCTGTCCTTATATTAGGATACATTATAAGATGATGAATTATAGCTGTCCTTATATTAGGGTACATTTTCATGATGATAAATTGAAAAAAAAAAAGTGTCTCTATAACAGGGTGAATTTTTAAGATTACACATTAAAACTGTCAATACATAAAATAAATTATAAAATGAGATTACAACCATCTCAATATTAGAGTACATTATAAGATGACATTAGAACCATCTGAATATTAAAGTACATTAAAAGATGTCATTAGAAGCATCTCAATATTAGAGTACATTATAAGATGACATTAGAACCGCCTCTACGACCGATGTCTTCCGTTCCAGGCTATTGTTTCATCGGTACGTTCACCAGCCACGTGCCAACAGCAGCGGCTCAGCAGGCCGTGAAGGACCTGATCGCCTGCGGTGTGGCCGCTGGCAAGATCCAATCAGCTTACGTCCTCAGAGGTCACAGAGACATGGGCAGCACCGAGTGCCCCGGCACTGCCTTTTGGCACCTCATTAAGACGTGGCCCCATTATTAAACGAACATTTGTAACTATGAACAGGAATTCAATGACCCCTGCTGATCTGGGACAAGGAGCGGCGTATGTTGAACTGTCTTGACATAGATAAACGTATTTTCAGACCACTAGAATTGTTCGTTATTTTTGTAACTGGGTGCTTGGTCAATCGCTCTAGCTTTAACGTGATAGAATCTCAAACATGGCGGACTCATAGGGCTAAATCTGAAAGAATATGTGAGTCTATGTGCCAGGTTTCAACTTGATAGCTTGACCGAATGCCACAAACAAAAGCGAAGTTAATATTACGGATTTTTTTTTTAAAAAGTCAACGAGTTTTTTTAATTAAATGCACTCAGCCTTAATTTGAAAACATTAATTTAATATGAAAAATACGTACCTTAAAAAAACATGCACTTAAAATTATAAAATCATTAATTTCTTTTGACATACTTAGTTCTAAGTAAAAACAATACGTCAATGTTGCATCGTTTCATAGCAACAGTCAAATAAGAGCGTCGAGAGTATGCAGTAGCACTTAGCTGGGATGAGATTTCAGCTCCCCACGTTCCCAGTTAAGATTTTTTAAAACCCATAAACAATTCATAAATAAATAGAAAGTCTTCAAAAAGCCCAAGAAGGGGATATAGCCCCCCAGGCCACGGCACCTGCTTTGTCCCAGAGGATGATCTCTCTAAAGGCAGCCCCCCCCCCCCCCCCCCAGTGCGCTGCTGTACGATCACGAACATAACATAGACTCTTCTTTGTGGTACAACAACATCGCCGTGATCAGCGCTATTTTGGCCTGACTGGTGATGGTAATTTAAACTTCACGACCTCATTTAAGCATTGTTAAACCAGCCACGTTTAAAAAAAAAATATTATCATGGACCTCATGAGCAGGCTCTGCCCCTGGACCTCATGAGCAGGCTCTGCCCCTGGACCTCATGAACAGGCTCTGTCCCTGGACCTCATGAACAGGCTCTGCCCCTGGACCTCATCAGCAGGCTCTGCCCCTGGACCTCATGAACAGGCTCTGCCCCTGGACCTCATGAACAGGCTCTGCCCCTGGACCTCATCAGCAGGCTCTGCCCCACATTTAAGATTTCTGGCATGTTACAGCATGTTTACGAATTTAAACACATTTTTTTTTTGGTCAAGGTATAACAGTTATCGGCCTCAAACGGAAAATATTAGTGATAACAAAATCAAAGATGTTAAAATCGAGCGAAGTCTTTAAATATTCCGAGTTTATAACGTAATTTCAACAAAAAGAAATGTGGAGAGCGTGTCAAATCAATAAAATGATTGAAACAAAAATCCTAATAATGATGGTGGTCCTGCGTCAACCAGCGGCCAAGCGAGTCACCTACGACGGCCATTTTAATTCTTGAGTGGACAGATGTTTTGGGTAGTGGGTAAGGGACCGGGGACAATAGAAAAATAGGTTGGCGGGAGATTTGGTAGGGGACACGGGACAATAGAGGGGAAAGGGTGGAGGGAGAGTGGGTAGGGGACAGGGGACAATAGAGGGATAGATTAGAGGGAGAGTGGGTAGGGGACAGGGGAAAATAGAGGGATAGATTGGAGGGAGAGTGGGTAGGGGGCAGAGTACAATAGAGGGATAGATTGGAGGGAGAGTGGGTAGGGGACAGGGGGCAATAGAGGGAAAGGGTTGAGGGAGAGTGGGTAGGGGAGAGGGGAAAATAGAGGGATAGATTGGAGAGAGAGTGGGTAGGGGACAGGGAAAATAGAGGGACAGTGTGGAGGGAGAGTGGGTAGGGGACAGGGAAAAATAGAGGGATATATTGGAGGGAGAGTGTGTAGGGGACAGGGGACAATAGAGGGAAAGTGTGGAGGGAGACAGGGGAAAATAGAGAGATTGATTGGAGGGAGAGATGTCCAGAGTTTTATTTTTAGCTTTAGAGTAGGCTCGGATTAAAGAAGGAAATGTGAGGATGCTTGCACAGAGTAGAGGAAGGACACATCTTCAAAAGAGAGTCTGAAGGAGGGGCGGGGCGTGCGAGGTATAAAAGATGGCTTCTGAACACTATAAATAGAACCGCCCTAGTTAATGACACAAAGAAGGTTCTTCTTCTTCTTCTTCCTCTATATATTAAGGGCCTTCGATCAATTTATTGATCATTTTGGCTCCTATGTCAGTAGTAGTACATCTGTTGATTAACATGATGCAATGATCTGGCTCTGTGTTGGGAGGATCTGCATGACTGGGATGTATGACGATTGCACCGCCGCCATTTCGCCATCGACATTTCGCTAAATACACAGGTGATTATGAAAAGGTTGAGGTTTCAAGAACATTAACGAATTTTGTTTGTTGGTTGGTTGTTGCCTCAGTTGACATGGACATATTTTTATCTCTTTAAAATGGATGCTCGACAAAAGCCCCCCCCTTCCCCATAAAGCACCCACCCCATAAAATTCCGTCTCCGACTAAAGCCCTCCACCCCATAAAAGCCCCTCACCCCCTAAAAGCCCACCACCCATAAAAGCCCGTCTCTGACAAAAGCCCCCACCCCATAAAAGCCCCACCACCCCATAAAAGCCTACCAATCCCATAAAAGCCCCCCACCCCATAAAGCCCATCTCAGACAAACA